TCCCCAAACCCCCTCCAGCGCAATCTTTCTCCCCCCCTTCCTTTATATGGGAGCTTTTCTGGAAGCTTGGGAGGATGGACTGTAGATGCTCTTTGAGGTGGAAAAGACACTTTGTGCATGCTCAGGGGTTCATTCCCAATGCCTGTGGTTGCGTTCCAAGGGCACCGTGGCTTGCAAGCCCCAGAGGAGTCAGGAGGGCAGACAAGGTAAATCTTTCAGCCTTACCTGCTCCCCCCCTTCCTTTATATGGGAGCTTTTCTGGAAGCTTGGGAGGATGGACTGTAGATGCTCTTTGAGGTGGAAAAGACACTTTGTGCATGCTCAGGGGTTCATTCCCAATGCCTGTGGTTGCGTTCCAAGGGCACCGTGGCTTGCAAGCCCCAGAGGAGTCAGGAGGGCAGACAAGGTAAATCTTTCAGCCTTACCTGCCGGAGTCAGCAAAGGTATAAATGAAGCCATGCTGTCTCCGTTGGGGCACTGTTTCTTTTTAAAAAGGGAGGAGGTTAATTTGCAAAATGCAATTTGAGGGAAACTTCTGCTGGAAATCCGGCTTTTCTTCTTCCAGGGAAGCCTCTTTCTGGATGCCTCTTGTCCGGAGAGGCTATTTGTAGAGAAAGGGGGGAACTCCTTCAGGAGGACCAAGCGGATCCCTCGAGAAACAAAAAGCAGCCAAACTACACACATGCACACCTGAAAATGCCAACCGAGGAGACACTCATGACCCAGGCCATGTTGAAAGAGCTCACCTTGTGGCCTTCAAAATGAGCACCTCTGAGCTTGTGCAGAAGGCCTCCCCCCCCACAACGCCGGGCGCCTGAAGTGGAAAGGCCAGAAGCTTGTCCACCGTATTTCACCATCCTGATTCAGTCTTCCGAGCTTCAGCTGTCTTTTTACAGGAGAGCATGGCTTCTTATTTTTATTCACTTGCTTTTCAGGCCACCTTTAAATCCGTCTGTTTTTATCGGCATGCGCTGTTGTTTTTCAAATTTGCATTTGATTGTTTAGCTGTTTGAATGCCGGTTCCCTTTGGAAGCCTAAATATAAGTGATTTTATGGACAGTGGGGATGACTTTTTAAAATAATCACACGCAGAAAGTACCTTCCCTGTAATAAACACAGTCCTCTGGCTTGAAAGGTATGCACCTCATCCAGGGCTAGGAACAAGTGCTTATTTTGCACTACAAATCCCAGAATCCACAGCTAGTCAAAGTACTTTATAGTTCAAAGTAAAAAGTTCTCCAGGTTTTCTGCTGCGTTGGTGTGTTGTTTAATCGTATTTTTTTTACAGTTGCTGCCTCATGATGCTTTGAAATCTGTAGATGTAAGCCGTTTATAAATATAAGCTGGTTATTAAATATTTGTGAATCACACCCATGAATCTCGGGCGCCTTTTTCCATGCTGGGAAGGATTAAAATGGGGGAAGAGAAAGGATCTCCTCCTTTTTTTAAACTGTGCCTCTAAACCCCCAGCCTGACATCTGGAGTAAAAGGGGAGTCCTCCAGGTATGGAAGGGTAGGGGGTTCGAGCAGCAAAACTCTGCACGTGCTCAAACTTACCCTTGTTGTCACCCTATGGCACAGACGTCCAGGGCTAAGTGTCGGGAGCGTGAACTAGTTTAGGACCAAGTGCCGGTAATGAGAAACCAGTTCAAGGGCTGAGGATCCCAGCAAGCCTTATTTAGGGTGCAGGACTGGGCATACTGGGTGACTTCCATAATCAGAGGGTGGTTTGCTGGAGGGCTTTTAGGTTGGAGATGGTTGGGGGGGGGAAGAGTAATTCCCCCCCCCCAATTACATGGTGTTTGTCTGCAGGATGTTACAGTTCTCCGAAGATCTGGCCTGACTGGTGCTGATAACAGCCGGTGCCAGAGAGATACACCCAGGCCCCCTTATCAGGGCCCAACCCAGCCAGGAAAATTAGGACCTGATGGGTTGGTTCCTCCCCCCCCCCACAGCTTCTTTGTCTCGCCTTCTCCTTGTGCAGAGAAATGGTTAATTACCTTAGCGTCAGGAGTGGGTCAACCGCCTTTGATGCCCCACTGAAATATCAGTTAAAGTAGGCGAACTTTTCAAAGTCCTATAGAACTAAGCTGTAGAAGTAAGAATTGCAAAGGCTTATAAGGGATGGGAGGCTGGGTGAGAGAAACATTACAGAAAAAATAATCTTGGCTGGACATAGAAGCTGCAGCATTAAATAATTAATCTAATTAACTAATCCGACTCATTTCATGTGGATAAAGGGTGTGTGGGGGGGTGCTACTTGTCATCCTCCTGTCCTCAAAGCCTTACCTCCAGTCAGGAGTGGGTCAATGGCCTTTGATGCCCCACTGAAATATCAGTTGAAGTAGGCGAACTTTCAAAGTCCTACAGAATCAAGCTGAAGAAGTAGGATTTGCAAAGGCTTATAAGGGATGGGAGGCTGGGTGAGAGAAACATTACAGAAAAAATAATCTTGGCTGGACATAGAAGCTGCAGCATTAAATAATTAATCTAATTAACTAATCCGACTCATTTCATGTGGATAAAGGGTGTGTGGGGGGGTGCTACTTGTCATCCTCCTGTCCTCAAAGCCTTACCTCCCGGATGTATCCTGCACCTTCGGCTTTCCCAACGGCAAAACTAAATTATTCAGTTGTCCAAACGTCTCAAGATAAACATATTTTTATACACGTTCGTATTGTTGTCTCACGGCTGGTCTGGGTGTTGAGCAACCCAGGTTGCACAGAGCTTGAGCCGATGGCCTACCTGGTAGGGCTGTTGTGAAGAGAAAGCAGGAAGGAGCATGTCCACGCTGCCTTGAGCTCATGGGAGGATAGTTGAGCTCTAAATGGAACTGCGGGAGATCATCATGATGCACTTTTAATAGCCGAGTAAAAAGTTTTCAAGGCTTCTGGGCTGGCTGGCCCTGCAGCCAAGCTGGTTGCACAGGTTGAGCCACGCTCACAAAGGCTGGCATGGAGGTCAGAGGCGCCCTAATTTCCAGCAAGATTTAGAGTCAGGCCAACACTATTCTGTATTTTCCTATTTTTCAAGCTGCGCAGCCCCAGGGCATCCCTCCTCCCCAGGATAAAGGAATGAGGCATCTCTCCTGCATGTTCTCTAGCTAGAAAACCCTGGAAAGGACCGCCTTCGGCCAGAATGGGACTCGAGGGTCTGCAATGAACATTAGCAACGCACGTTGCAGCATTTTGGGGGAGGCTTGACCTTGACCGGCGAGCCTCCATGAATGAGGACGGCGGGACTATTCCCGTGGTGGCCACAAAAGCTGGCATTTTCTTTTCCCCAGGAAAGACACCCCTGTTCGGGTCTCTTTTAATGTCTTCCCGCACCGATGGTGCAAAACGGCCAGGCGCAGAGCATGGAGAAGTTCTTTTGGGGGGGGGGAATACCACGTCCAGGATCCCCAAACCAGCTGCGGGGTCAGCTTGGGACGCAAAAAGGGATGAGCAACCTTCCTTCCATCTTGCCCTCCTCGTACAAAGATTAAGAGGGTCTCCAACCCTGTAAGGGATATCAGTTTATTCCAGAGTAACTTGCTTGTTCCAGCTCCCTTGCCAAGTACGCTGGGAGTTTATTTTGCACTTACAAGGATAGGGGAGTGTTGTGGGTAATGGGAACTGTAGTCCAAGACATCTCGAACAGGGGCCGGTTAGAGGAAGCTGACCTTCCTAGCAGGAGGCCGGCACTGCAGAGCGAGCGGTTCCTCTGTGGAGGGCTCTCCTTGGTGCAGGCCCTTTTCCCTTGGTCCGGAGCACACACACACACGTGTGCGCACACCAGGCAGGACCAGCTGGTGTTGGGAGATAAGAAACCCTCCCAGCCGGTCCTGCTCTGGGCCCCACCCCCTCCTATCTCCCGGGCTCCGGCCACCTCTGGGAGACCCAGTCCCCTCGGGGAGATGGAACGGCCCTCCTCTGGAGGAAGAGCTGCGCCACCCATGAGGTCAAGATCTCCGGCCTGGAGCCCCCCAGGTGGCTGTCGAAACAGCCCCCACCCCCCAGAGACCAGGGCAAGGCCGTGTGGCAAGATCACAACGAGTTTATTGTACAATATTTCACACTTGGATATACATGAGGTCTGTGGCGACCCCTTGGCCCAGGTGGCCACGCACCACATCCATGCAGGCATGTAGGAGTGTGTGTTTGTGTGTGTGTGTGTTTGGGGGGGAGGGCAGGGCATGAAGCAAAGGGACATGTCAGGGGAGGAGGGAGAGCTGGCTTTCTCCTCTTGGGTGGTGGTATCTAGCAGCATCTCCACCCACCCATTATCCCCTCCTCAAGGCCTGGAGAGGAAGGCACAGCAGCTTCAACTCCTCCCTTGGAACCCCCCCACTGCTTGACCCCCCAATAGCACCTCTTCTCCCCCCTAAAGCCAGCCAAGAGCAAAGGGCCAGGGGCCCATCAGTCCTGCCTCCCCCCAGGGAGGGACGCCCACCCTGTCCTGACCGGCTGCTGCTGCTGAAACTGGAGCGTGGTGCCTCACCTCCTCCTTCCTCTTTTTCACAGTACACGATGCGGGGGGGGGGGCAAAGCCAGGGCGAGCCAAGCGACAGAGGAGGAGGATGGCCACGCAGGGAAGGGGGCCCGGGGCTCCTTGGCTCTTCTGGTCATGCACCGCGGGTCGATACCCAAGTCACAAAGCATGCGTGCGTGCGTGCGTCTTAAAGACAGAGACAGAGCGTCTGGGGCTGTGTCGCTTCCCCCATTTAATGCGACAGAAACACTGCACATTTAGCAGGAGAGAGAAGAGGGTCATTGTTGTGATAAAAAAAGGGGGAAGGCGCCCCAGCTTTCCCACTCCTTGGCACAGAGCAGCGGGAAGGGTAAGCTCTCGCCCAGCAATGAAGACCGAGAGGCATACACACGGCTGCCGTGCTCCAAGCCACACCCCGAGCCCCGTCAACCGGGCAGAGCGCTCAGGACTCAACCCCAGGTGAGGCCGTTCCTACCCCCCCATTCCTCTTCCGTGCACCAGAGACATGCTGAGGAAGGGAGGGAGGTTTTTAGCATGCAGGTTTTTAGGACAGTGGCGGAAAGAGGCATGCACGGGGCTGACGGGGTGGCAGTGACACCTCTGGCCGCCTCTTAGCACAGGAAGCCAAAGGCACGGTGACCAACTGGCTCGGAGTTTTTTTTTCTTCTGCCTCCTTGTTTGAGAAGCCAGTCCATGCAGGACAGGCCCCGGGGAGCCTCGAGAGGGAGGCCCCGTTCTGTACCTGCGAAACCAAGCAGGAGAGGCTTCTCGAGCAGCGTGGGAGAAGCAGACGTGGCACGGATCCTACTGAGGTCCAGGAACTCCCTTTGGCCTGAGGTCCCGAGAGGGTCTATAGGACGGGCGAGCGAAGCAGCAGAGGACGGGGTGCCCCTTGTGGTCCCTCAGACGCCCGCCACGCCACCTCCCTCTCCTGGTGCCGATGCCCAAAGAGGAAAGGACATTGGCCGATATGGCTCAAACCCAACCTGTCTGGAGGAGCAGGGAGGGTGAGGGACCCCTCCAATCGCCCCCCCTCCAAATCTGTGACCCTACGGAGGTGGACCAGGGTGGGGGTTGGTGTAGTGGTCAGTCAAGGCACAAGAGCATTGCGAGGGTGGAGGAGAACGACAGAGGAACGGCGGGCCGGCTAGCAGGACGCAGAGTTACAAAAAAAAGGAGACCTCTCATGGAAACGCAAGGACCGGCCTGTGGAGGCCGCTGGCCCTCAGGAGATAATAAGGCACCCGAGTGTAGCTGCCCCCCCCCACTGTCTCCACGGATGAAAGATGAGCTCCCAGTGTGGAAGGCCATTGGTGGGAGGAGAACGACAGAGGAACGGCGGGCCGGCTAGCAGGACGCAGAGTTACAAAAAAAAGGAGACCTCTCATGGAAACGCAAGGACCGGCCTGTGGAGGCCGCTGGCCCTCAGGAGATAATAAGGCACCCGAGTGTAGCTGCCCCCCCCCACTGTCTCCACGGATGAAAGATGAGCTCCCAGTGTGGAAGGCCATTGGTGGGGTGGGGAGCCAAATCCAGGCGGTGTCAGTCAGCAAAGCCCTCCTCAGCTCGGATTGCCAACACCTGTTGTCCGCTTTGGCGCTCAAAAGATACAAATAAGATAATAAAAAACAACAAGTCAAATGAAAGGACCCCTGAGTTCTGGTCTCTTTGGCCCACCTTGGAGAGATCAACGCCGGTGAGGGCATGCACGGAGGCCGGAAGTTCGGCCAGGAGTCGGTTCACGTCCGACGTCATCTTGTTGTTCTCTCCGCTGAGGATGACAATTTCGTCCACTTTGGACAGAGGAGCCGACACCTTGGCAGCAATCTGAGCGAGGGATGGGGTGGGGGGAGAGAGAGAGAGATCGGACACAGCGGTTGGGACGGGTTCCCCAACGGCGGCAGGGACAGGCGGCTCCCCTCCTCTGCCCCCAAACCCCGCCGCCCCGTCTCACCCGCGGCAGGGCGTCCAGCACCAGCGCCATCTTGGCCGCCTCCCCGTACTGCTGGTAGGCCTCTGCCTTGAGCTTCATCTTCTCCGCCTCCGCCTTGCCGATGGCCTCAATGACCAAGGCTTCGGCCTCTCCGATCTTCCGGATCTTCTCTCCCTCGGCCCGAGCCACCAGCACCTGCTTCACCCTTGAAAAGGGGACAGACGGGCCTTGAGAGGGACCCTCAGGCCCCGAGGGGAACACTCCTGGGGGTGGGGTGGGGTCTTTTCCCCGCATGAACCTCCTAATCCCAGGACAGGCCGGCTCGGGCGAGGGCTTTCTCTGTGAAACGCTCCGTGGTTCCCCTCTCCGTGCGGACTCTGCGGGGGGCCCCCCCACACTCACTTCTCCCCCTCCGCAATCTGCTGCAGCCGGTGCGCCTCGGCCTCCGCTGGCAGCTTGACCATGGCGGTCAGCTCCTTGTCCATCCGGATGACCTCCTTCTCCTCCACGTCGATCTGCCTCCGGCGTTGGACCACCTCGATCTCGATCTCTTCCTGGCGAATCTTCTGCTGCTCTTTGGCGCCTTGCAGTTCGTAAGCCAGCTGAGCCTCTGCGGTCTGGGAGGGAAGGGAAGGCCCCCTTTGGGTGCTTTTCCTGGGGTGCCGGCCACGGTTCCCAGCTTTCTTCCTCCTACCCACCCGGCCGGCCGGCATCATGCATGCCCTGTTATCTCCTTCTCCTCCACCGCACAGAATCTGCTGTGAAGCTTTCTCAAAACTCCGAACTGCCCTGCTGCCAGGGAACACCCCTTTCCGAACAATTTATCCCTCCACCCACTCGTTCAGACCTTCAAAAGGAGCGAAGCAGGGCTCCCGGGGCAGACCCTCTTTATCACGTACCGCCAGCCCTTCCTTGCATCGCAGAGCCTCTTTCCACCACCTCCCTCGCCCCAAAAGACCACCACCCACCTTCACGTTGATCTCCTGGCTGAAGGCCGCTTTCTGCATTTCGAAGGCACGCTTGGAGTCGGCCACCTTGGTGTCTGCCAGGAACTTCACATCCAGCATCTCCTTCTTACACTCAGCTTCCTGAAGCAGGAGAAGAAGAAGAAATCATGTCTCTCAGCCCAGGAGTCTGGAGAGCCCGGCCGAGGCTGCAGGACACAGCGGAGGGAGGGAGGGAGGGCTCTCACATGCCAGAGGCCTCCTCCACCTACCCGGATGCCAGCGTCTCTCTCAGCCTCTGCCACTCCAATATCGGCGTCTCGCTGAACCACAGCCGTCTGGGTCTTCCCCAGGGAGCTCAAGTAACTGACTTTGTCGTAGACATCCTGGGAGGCAAAAGCAGAGACAGCGAAATCACAGCCTTCGGGGCAGCAACCCCCCTGGCCTGCCTGCCTGCCTGCCTGCCCCACAGAGAGAACTCTCACAGAAGCCATCCCAGACATTCAGGGGATCCCTCAAGCTTTGCCCCCTTTGGCATCTGCAAGCCGTAGGAAGTTTTGCCCGGTGCAGCCATCCACGCGCTCTTCCCTTCTCCAGACGATGAAGCCTCAGCCCACCCACAAAAGCGGGCAGTGACCCCACCCTGGGTCACAGGGATGACCCGACAAAGTCTTTGTTCACAGGCAGCTTTGCTCTTTCGTCCAGCGGCACCACTTGTTTGTACCTTGATCGTGAAGCTGAGGATTTCGATGCCCATCCGGCCGACATCCGGGGCGGCCACCTCACGCACCAGCTTGGCAAACTGGTCCCTGTCCTGGTAGATCTGTTCTACGGTTAAGGTGCCTGCCGGGAAAGAGAAACAAAGAGGGGAAAGAGAGTCGGCCAGGGCCACCACCGTGGAAGAGGTGGGCTTGAAAATATTCAAGGAACTTCTTTTAAAAGTGCTTCACAATACGAAAGAAGTCATTTAAGGTGATAACCCACCCACCCACCTCCTATAAATCTAAAACCCACTAAAAAACATTATCCTAATGCTGCAATACCCCTTTGCGAAAAGTTTGCAAAGAAAGAAAAAAGAATCTGGAATATACAGGATGGATCCAGCCAGGCGGCACAAATTGGCGTCCTAGATTTGCTATAAATGAGGGCCCACCCCCCACCCCCACTGGGCTACTCTCCCCACTGGGCTACTCCCCCCACCTAAGATGGAGCGGAGGTGCCCCTCCAGCGTCTGAAGGACCACGTTCTTAATGTCTTGAACGTTCTTGCCCAGAAACTGCTCGCAGGCCACCGCTAGAAGTTCCTTCTCTGTCATGATTTTCACCTGCAGGTTGAAAAAAAAGAAAAGAGGAAGAAGTCACTTCAAGTGAGGCTCTGAAGGCCCAAAGGGTAGGATCACGTTTTGAATCAGCAACGGAAGGGGAGCCAGGGGTGGGGTGGGGGGGTCTTTTGGTTTCCAAAGCCCCCTGCCCTTGGGGAAAGCCTGAGTTCCAGAATCGCCTGCCCACCTCCCCCAGGGACAGACACAGGCCCATGATTTCTGGTGTTTTGTCAGAGGGAAAGTCCACAGAAGCCCCCTCTCTCGTCCTGTCCGAAAGCCATCCCGATACGGGGAAGCAAAGGAACATACAGTGGGGTCGACTTAAGAACGGCTCGAGGTAAGAACGTTTTGACTTAAGAACCACTCTCATAGGAAAATATTGACTTGACTTACTTAGATTTGAGTTAAGAACTGGAAAAAAAAACCACGTGGGAGGCAGGGAAAGTGCAAAATGTGAACTTTCAGTTAACTGTTGGCCAGTGAAAAGGGTGCCTGCCTGCTTCCTGACTCCTCCCAGCGTTTAGAGAGTGGATTGGGAGACAGTCTTCGGACTGCCTGGTACTGTCCTGCCTGGACTGTATTTTCCCTGCCTTCCCTGAACCTTTCTTGACCTAAGAAAAAAAGAAACAAAATATCCCCCTCTCGTGGTCGAAGGCGGAATAGCAGCTTCCCATTAGTTTCTATGGACAGAAAAGAGCAGATACGGATCAAATGGTTTTCAATGCATTCCTATGGGAAATGCAGATTTGACCTGAGAACTTTTTGACTTGAGAACCGCCTTCCAATACGGATTAAGTTCTCAAGTCAAGACCCCACTGTAATATATGACGCATGTGAAAAAATGAAAAAACAAACAAACAAAAAACCTGGTTTTTGGGGGAACAACCATTCTCATAGCCTTCCAGCTGGCACGACCAGGATTTGGGGGAGCTATCGGCAGGCATAAAAGGAGAGAACCGCTCCCCCTCACTCCCCAAAACAAGCCTCCCAACACAAACAGGCACAGCCGCAGATTCTGGGGCCAGCGGCTGCTTCTGTCCCTAGAGGCACACTGGAAGGAGGAGAAGGGAAAAAAGGAAACCAGGCCCTCTCCTTCCCTGGGGTGGCTGTTCCCAGGCCTTGACCAGGCAAAGCAGCAGAGGGGGAGGGTTAATGCGTGGGGCCCAGGTTTTTTCAACACAAGGCAGGCTCAGGGGGCCCACAGACCAGAGCCCACTTCCAGAATCACCAAGGCCTGTTGGTCAGGTCCAGAGAAGGAACGTGTGGCATAGAAGGACCCACCTTTCCCCCTGCTCTTTCTACCTGCCACCCCCTTCGGAGCTGCAAAAACTCCTTCCTTCAGCAGGCGGCCCATGCAGCTCCTTTGGGCCCTTCTGTTTCCCCGAACATCTCACTAGCGTTGACGGATACTGCAGCTCATGAGAAGTCCGCCAATCCCTGGAACAGCCAGATTTGCCCTTTGGGTGTCGACACAGCCACTCGATTCAGACGGTCTGCTGCTGGCAGCAGCAGCACGCTGGCTGGACAAAGTAATGCACCACTAACAGCAAAAATGGGGGCAGGGGGAGAGCAAGGGGAAGAAGTTGGGGCTGCACTGTATGGCAGTCCATGAAAAGGGCTGGGGGGGCTGAGGATCTTCCCCCCCCCAGCTCATTCAAGCTCCCTTTTCTCTACGCCCCTCCTCTTTAGGATTTCTTTGGTTCTCTTGATTTTCATAATGCCATGGATTACCCGACTCAGCAGTGAAAATTGGATTCAAAAGGGCACTGCAGGGTTCCCCCCCCCCAAGTCCAGAAAAATATGTTGTTGTTTTTTAAAAAAAAAGCATAATCAGGCAAAATGAAAAAAGGTGAACGGGCCAAAAAATTACATATGCAGTAAGCATTCCTCTCCTGTTCCCACTGTGACTCAACCTCTGCTTGATTTAAAAAAAAGAAAAAGAAAGCCTGATTAAAACCAATTACCGCAAACAAACAAGGAAGAAGTTACTGTTTTGTGGTCACTTCACATACCTGGAAGTCCAGTCGACGGGCGCTGGAGGAGGAAGGAAAGGATAGTGGGCGTGCATCTTTCTAACCACAGACAGAAAGCTGCCGTGTGCTACGAGGAGCTTTTTCCAGGCCGGATGAGCCCCTTTCCTTGTAAACTGCAGGGACAGCAGCTGGGGGGACTCTGGGCTAAATCAGGACTACAAAGACCATACCAATGAGGGAGGGGGGGGCTCAGAGGCAAGAGAGGCTTGGAGAGGGAAAACCTCCTAGGACAAACTGGGGAGCAGGCTGAGGGAGAAGGCTCATCCCCCCCCACCCCACCCCCCGTTTCAATGTGGCCCTCGAGGAAAATCAGCGGTCAAGCATGGATTCAGGGGGTGCCATACTTTGAGGAGTCCCCGAGTTGCTGAATGTGAAGACACCATGGAGAAGGATTTTGGAATATCCTCAATGAGTCCAGAAGGAAGAACACCACCGCTATGAGAGACGCTTGGCACACTGAGATGGAGGTAGAAGGAAGGAGGCTAGCAGGAGGCGGCTGTGTCTCGGGTTCAAGGCAGCCGCGGCGCCCTCTGCTGCCCAGGTAGTGTAGAAGCGACGGCCTCGTGGCAGACAGGAAAGAGAACAGCCTCGCTTGCCACCCCAGCGAGGCCGAGGCGCCTGAACGGAGGTGGAGAATGAAGCCGCTTTGAGGGCAGGAGGGCCTGCTTGGAGCAGAGGGGGCTTCCCCCCCCCCAATAGAGCTCAAGCAGCCTCGCGGGTGAGGGGAGGAGAGACCGGAAAGAAGGGTTAAGAGCCATGCATTCCTCAGAGGAGGCATTTCGAGTTACTGTACCTGGGCCACACCTGTGACAGTTAAAGCTACCCCCTCCGCCGTCTCTACGTCCTCACACCTGGGCTGTAACGTCATTATCTCTAGGGAAATCCTGCCAAAAAACGCAAGAGGTTGGCACGTTTCCAGCAACAGGCTCACCTCCATTCCCCCCCCTCCTCCTGGCTTGCTCGGAGGGGGCTCACCTGCTGCCTCCATACCTCCGAGGTAATGCAGACACACATGACGCTTGCCTTGAGCGATTGGGGGGGTGGGGACTGGCTTTTCCCACCCGGCTTCTTCCTTCCCCAAAAAGGAAGGTGGCTGCTTGGACGGGCACCCCCCCGGGGGGGGGGGGAGCCTGGAAACCTCAAGGGAAGGAAGAGTGGAGTCCAGGCTCGCCTATCTCTGAGCCCCCAACCCTTCCCTGAGAGTTCTGGCTCTCTCCTTCCCGCCTGAGGGACTTAACAAGGCCTGGCCCAGCTTGAAAGGCGTGCAGGAAACCACACGCACAAGGCTGACCACGGAAGCCGCCTCAGGTGAGATCCAGAGGTGTCCTTTCAGAAACCGATCTGGATCTGGGGCCATTGGCTCCATCACTCCATCTTTTAACACGCTTGGCTTTCCAACCATCCACAGTTAAGTCCGCTCTTTGCCTCGCTTTCCAGATGCATTTCTGATGGGGACGTTTGCACCTCGGGAAGCAATATTCTTCCCGGCATGCCTGGGGCTGGGTGGCAATGTGTATGTGTGCATGCGTGCATCTGTGTATGTGAATCTGTGTACGCATCTGTGTACGCAGGAGAGGGGAGAAAGAGTCTCTGGGGTCTCTTAGAAACTGCCTGACCCAGCCCTCGCGTACTGCAAGGGAACAACAACGCAGAGGCAGACGGTGAAATGATTAGTGACTGCAGGACGTTCAAGAAGGAAACCTCCATGTTCTCTGTGGTTCTCGGGTCCCACCGATTGGAAAGACACGACATTTCCAACCCTTGCGGACAAATATTACAAAAACATCGACATTTATGGCGCTAAACGAATCTCGGTTTCAACCAGTTGGGGAACTACGCAGAACTTTAGCGAAACAGGGAGAAAGGAAATCTAAAAGCCAGTGGCCTGAGTTTTCCCAGAAATTCTTGCCAGCACAGCTGGTGGTCAAGGCACATGTGAGCTGTAGTCTAAGAACCTCTGGGGAGATCCCAAAGTTGAGAACCCACCGGCCTGCCAATCCAAAACAGCAACACCTGGCTAGACAGGCGAGGACTCCGTCCCCGTGTCCTGATTTAGAACTGCTTTTGAAATCCAACCCTACCGCTATTTCCAGGCGCAGCAGCCTGCCGTCACGCGGAAGGCCCAATTATTGAGCGGTACCTATGGAGAGCTATGCCACCCTTTCCTCCATACTCCAAAGTTTGGGGGGGGGGATTCTGTAGCTTTCTTGCTGCTGAGCCAGGCTGGTGAAACAGGCATGTGTGGCCGTCGGGGAGGGCCAAGAGGTGCCCCAGTGACATTCACTTCCTCGAGGTCCAGACACACACACGCACCCCCACACCCCCGGAGCACTGAAGAATTCTGCATGCGTCTTTCTACATTACCCCGGAGTGCCACAGCAGGGAGCAAGAGCCAGCAGCCGGGAGTGGGGGGGGGAGGAGGCAAAGGAAAGAGAGAAACAGAGTCAGTGCCGAGACCCTGGCCCACTAGAAGGAAGAGCAAGCAATTATATCCTCTTGCTGATGTTGCCGCCGCCACCGCCGTTGCTGCTGCTGCTGCTGCTGCGAGGAACAGACACAAGAGACGGAGAAGGGTTAAGGACCAGAGGTTAGAAGCGGCTGGATTATTACCTGTGCGACCCCCGTTACGTACAGTGGGACCCCCTCCGACGTCTCAATATTCTCACAGCGACAAAGGATGGTCATAACCTCCAAAGACAGTCTGAGCAGCGATAAATAAGGGTAGCAAACACACAAGGTGGTTACCAGAGAGCAACACGACCCCACTCACTCGCCGAGGAGGAGAAAAGACGGGACTTTTTGGGTTTACGGAGCACTTCTCGGAACAAGGGGACTGGCAGTGTCTTTTCGGAGGGAAGGGCCAGCCTTGTGGGCCACTAGCCGTGGCCACAAATCGCGCTCCAGGTGCCTCACGTCCCCTGGGGGCACGCGGAGCGAGAACTCCTGTCCTCTTCAGCCACAAAGTGTCACTATCGAATGATGGCTGGGGATGGAGGGAACCGCAGCCCGAGAGACCAGGCGAAAGAAAGCAGCAGCCGAGAAGGACTGGCCTGTTCATTCAGGACAGGCACCAGGAAGGGAACCTCTTGCCCAGCCACAAAAAGGTTTCTTGGTCTCTTAGTTAGGTGAAAAAAATGCCTTGACTTTGCTTCGCTATTGACAGTTTGCTTTAAATCTCGCACCTACTTTGTTTTAATTATGTGGGCTTTTGTTTTCCATTATTCTTGTATTCACTCACAGAGAAAGCAATACTGGAGAATCTGTCAGTGGAAGAAGGAGGGGCACGCCTGTCCTTTACCCCCAAAGAACGAGGACACCCCAAGCCACCGTGGCTGAACTTCCGCTCCATCAAACACACCCAATTAAAGGTGGGGCTCACGGAGAACACAAGACCCCCGGCTGACCACACATGACAGTCGGATGCACAGAACATCCAGTTTAAGTGCTGGCCGTAAGAAGTTTAACAAGGGTAGGGAAATGTGTCTGCCAGAGGTTCAAGAAGGTGGTAAAGGGTCTGAAAAAACAAAGAACGTCAGGAGCAGCTGAGGGGACGGGCGTGCTGAGCCTGGAGAAGAGGAGGGTGGAGAGGTGGCCTCCCTGCCACCTTCAGGTATCTGCTCCCAGGGGACAGGGAAGAAAATGGGCTTTTGGCTGCTACTAAAAGTAGAGCCGGTCTCCCACGCCGAGAGAGGCGATCCCTACCAATGATTACGGAGCACCATGAGAGGGTCAGAGATGGACCCCAGCAGAACGACTGATTGCCTCGGACGCGGGCGGATTTCCAGCTTCGGATTTCCTGCAGGGGCTCTTCCGAGTCTACGATGCTGTGAAATGTGCACGTTTTTGCAAGAGTTCCACCTTATCCCTCGGAATGAGGAAGAAGTAGCACGCCTAGGGTTCCTTATCTTTTTTGCAAAGGGTGGCCAAATACCTTTGGAATATTTTATACCACAGCGGTTATCTCCCACCCAGCGACGTGTCCTTTCAGTCCTGCCCCCCCTCCCCCTCCAGACCAAACTGCAGGAAGCTCCCTCAGCAGTGGGGCTCCTCCACCTTTGAGTGGGGGTGGGGGTGACCCATTTTTTCTTGGCTGTGGTTCTCGGTTCCTCTCGCCGCCAACCCACAGAGTCACGTCTTTTTTCCTTTCTTTGTTAGTGATTAACAAAAGGGAGGGGGAGGGAGAGCCCCCCCCCGCAAGGGTGTTAGGGTGACTCTGAAACGGGTGCGCCTCCCACCCACCCACCGCCAGCGCCTCCGGTCCCCAGCAGGACCCTGCAAAGACAACACAACGCACTACAGGGAAAGCAGGCGCCACAGCAGCATCACCGTCACAGGAAGGGGTTAGTAGAGGCTGCCCAGAGAGAGAGAGACACACACACACACAACAAGCCACGGGCCCACAGCTACAAGAGAAAGCACACGGAGAAAGAGGGGAAGTGGAGGGGGTGGGGGAGGAGGAGGAGACCCCACCCCAGGAAAAGGGCTGGCAGAGACATCTAACCTACATGGGTGGAGGCCAGTCTGCTTCATGGAATCTGAGTCACCTACCCGGAGAAGAAGACAAAAACTATTCATCCCCACCCACCCCCCAAGCTGGTCCAGGGGGGCATGCCCTCTGCATCCTCTACTGGCCCTGCAGAGCACAGGACCCCTGCGCTGGCCCCCCAACCAGCATCAACCGCCCTTTTCTCCTGGACTGGGGGAGAAAACAAAAGCCAACCAGCTGGTGGCGAGACCCACAACCCAGCATTGCCCCTCCACCCCAGCCCTGACAGCTCAGGCAAGCTTCCTTCTGGGACTAAGAAAAGCAGAGGCAGTCCCAAAGCGGCCACAAAGTGCAAGAAAGCACACGTGGCACTCCACTACCCACGTGCCTGCTTGTGCTGGTGGTCTGAGCCCAGCCACAGGGCAGCACCTGTCTCCGGGTTGCCACCAGAAACATCCTTGCCCCAGGAGCCACGAAAGGGCCCTGCTATCTGGAACAGCGGAGGAGTCCAGAACAGGGACTCCCGCAGAGGGGCGGTGGGCACCAGCCGCCTCCGTCAGACAGCGCTCCTGGTTCACCGTGTTTAGACGGCATTCTTTCTCGACAGCACGTGTGATGCCCTCTGGACAGAATGGCTGCGGTCATGGCAAGGTTACAAAGCGGGATCCGAAGGCCTGCTTAACCAACGCCAAGACCCTTTTGTGCTGCCCTTCTAGAGGGATCGATTCCCCACTGCTGAAGACGAAGAGGGAGCCCCTGCAAGGACGGGAAAGGCTGCTCTTTTCTTCCTCCCTCGCTAGGGGCAGGTGAGGAGCAGGTGGGCACCGTTGGCGACACCCTGGCTCCCCATTCCAAGAAGTGCTTCTGGTGGCCTTTTTCCTGCTCAACGACAACCACGTAGCGGTACGTCCACAGGCACCAGGGTGGGGTCACGTTTGGGTAAGCTTGGCAAAAGCACCTTTTGGAAAAAGATGGGAAGGGCCCCCTGCCTGTGGGTCTGTCCTAGGCACAGCTAAGCAGGGGCGCCTACCTGACTTTGACAGCCAAAAGAGCAGCCAGGTAGGGGTGTTGCTAACGACCCTCCCCCCCCCTTTCTCACCACCTTGCAGTGGCCTGTGCCAGCGACGCTTCTTCAGCCCCCCTTCCAAGGCTGGGCACCAGCTGGAGGCGAAGCAGGGGGTCGGAGTCACAGGCCCAGGGGAGAGGCCCTCAAGGATCCGGTCTATGCCAGCTCTCCTCCCGGGTGCTCCTTTTTGCCATGAAGGGGGGAAGGAAGGAAGGCCCTCTCCCGCTCCAGCCCAGCCTTGCTTGCGAAGAGCCAACAACGTGTGCAAAGGGACCGGCGTGCCTGCCACACTCCTCGCAAGCTTCCCCCTCCACCCGTCTAAACGGAGAGGGTTCGGAGAGCGCCCGTCTTACCTCTGGGTGTCAGAAATACACCACCAGGCCCAGGCCCAGCCTCCGTAGATGTACTGCTTGTTGTCAGAGCCACAGCAGCCGCCTGCAAGGGGAAAAGCCAGAGGGGCACATCATTTCCGGAGTGGGGTTCGAGACCCAGAATGGCTGAACCATGGGCGCGATCCCATTCAGGCACTGTGCGCTATGGACTCCCCTTTTCCTCTCCCGGGCTGAAAAGCAAAGCGCCACAGCACTTTCTTTTGTGAAAGAGAAGCCAGAGAGGATCCCTGAGCGCAGAGGTGTGTCCCAGACACTTGAAGGATGCCCATGACCAACGCCACGGTGGGGAAATGGCAAGGATGCCCACAAACGACTCTGCTATCAGTGGAGGGCAAGAATGCGACGCAGCTACAACCAGGGCTGCGGAGCCATGAACGTCCTACAGGAGCCGGCCTGGGAAAGGCTCAGATTTGCTCGGTTACACTCAGAGTGACTTTCTCTCCCTTTGACAGACGGGAAGTGAGGGAGAGCCAGGAGCTGGGTTTTCCTGTTAACCACTGCCTCCAGGGTGAAAGGCAACTTTCGACTAGAAGCGCACAGCCTCAGATAATGTTGAACCTGAGCTAAACGGGAAGCCAAGAGATAGCCACTGGCTGACCTCCGGCGAAGCTCTCCGGCACTAGGGAGCCGGGCTAAGCACCCATTTCCTGGCAGCATGAGATCCCTGCCTGCAATTTTCCCCAGCCGCCACGCCTGGCAATTAGTTTTGCAGGACACGGCCTTCTGCGAGCTGCCCGGATCCCAGCTAAGTGCTGCAAAGCAGAGCACACAACAGACACACAATCGCCGCTCTTCTTTCTATTGCATTCCTTCCCAGAGGGCCCGGGTGGAGAAGAACGGCTTGCAACAAAAACAAACAGGCAGATGCGTTTGAGGAAGGGAAGCGTCAGATATGGAAACTCCCGCTGAAATAAATCTGTTCATCTTTAGGGTGCCAGAAGACAGGGCTTGCCAGGTCAAGAAAAAGCGGCAGCCCCTTCTTCCTGCACCGCAAGCTTCACAGCGGAGGCAAACACCTTGGTCTGTCCGCCAAAGGATCTCCCTCACAAAGGCAATCGGGTTCCTAAGACTGAAGGGGCCGGGTTTGGCCGGACTAGCTCTGCTTTGGCTGCAAATTATCCGCAGGGGTGAGTCGCAGCAGAAAGCAACAGGGCACTCCTCTGAGCGCAAGACTGGTGAGGTGGGCTGCAGCCCTCTCTGAGGCAGACGGGAAAAGCTCCCTGGGGTGGGGAGGCTTTGGGAAAGAGGACAAGGGACACCCGGGGAGGACGGGCCTGGAAGCGCATGAAGTCATGCACCATCCCCACCCGGCTGCTGCTGCTGCTCCTGCCTTCCTGCCGACGGTCTCCTCAGCGGTTGCTCCGTTGGAGAGAAAGCTCTCCTCCAGCCCAGCAGGCTGTGACGGAAGCAAGATACCAAGTGGGACAACCTAGACTCTAGACGAGCCTTGCAAAGGCTCACGGCAAGGCTGGCGGGGAGGGGCCGTGGCTTGGACCTCCTTGCTCACCCAAGTCCAGCCGCAGGTAAGACCCACAGCTTCCCTGTACGTTTTGCTTCTGGGGTGCAGGCAACAGCCCTTTCCCATTCCTCCTCCTCCCCTGGGGCTCCTCAGGGGTAGGAGGCAGGCTTTTTCTGCCACTCCTCACTCACCTTTGCCCCTCCACCCACCGAGGGCACCACTGGCACCCTGAAGACCCTTCTGCTGAACCAGGACAGCCGAGAGACGGCCTCTTCCCTGATCCCACAAAGGTTCTGCCTGGGGGGCCAGGATTGCACAATCTCCATCCATAAATTCATCTGCTTCCTATTACAGGAATCTCAGCCAACCCTCTCCCTTGGCACCCTGAAGACCCTTCTGCTGAATCAGGAGGCCCTCTATATAAGAGACAGTGGAGAGATGGCCTCTTCCCTGATCCCTCTTCCCTGATCCCCCTCACCCTATCCTTTGGCAGCATATCCTGTAAGACAGTGGTCCCCAACCTTGGGCCTCCAGATGTTCTTGGACTGCAATTCCCAGAAGCCTTCACTACCACCTCTGCTGGCCAGGATTTCTGGGAGTTGAAGTCCAAGAACATCTGGAGGCCCAAGGTTGGGGACCACTGCTGTAAGAGCTCAAGCCACCCCCTCCAAGTCAGGGAGCACCATCTGCCTCCAAGACCAGCAAATTATTTGGCCACCCATGAGAAACAACATTCCACAAGGTCCCCACGCTACCCCTGGCAATAAATAAATGGAATGTGGTAAATAAACGGAATGGTTGAATCCAGCACATTAACGGAACAATGGCAAATCGCAAGCGGTTGCTATTCCATGACACCCTGCATACACTCACAGAGGCAGTTGCCTCGGTCTGCCTAATGGTAGGGCCAACCCTGGCTGCCCAAGGACCGAAAGCCCGCTCACGCTGGAAAGAGAAGACTGGGGGGACGGATCCAGCAACTGGGCAGTCTGTGTTTTTCTCTCCCGAGTTAGAACTGCCCCCCTCCTCCGCTGACCACCAGGCCTCCTGGGAAGCCTGACCGCCCCAATACTGAGCAAGGGTTCAAAATGACACGAGCGCCTCGGACGCCACTGGAAAGATTCACAAGGGGCAAGACAAGCAAGAAGAGCAGGCGGAGGAAACTCCGCAGCCGCCCCTCCCTGCTCGCTAAACCTTGGCACAGGAAATCCCCGTTTCCAGAAATGATAGCGACTGGGTGAAGGAGGAGGTTGCCTCTCTGGAGAAGGTGGTTTCACAACAGGCCTTTCCTGGTACGACGGCCAAATAACAGGGAACTCTGCAAGGGGCTTTGCCGCATTCCAGGGACACAGAATGACAAATTCCCAAGTCATGACTTCATGCACGCTCCAGCCGGGTGATCTGCACAGCGGGTCTGGCCCTGCTGGCCCCCCAGCCCTCGCATGGACATGCTAGGTGGCCAGAAGGAGAGCAATCTATCCCATCACATTGGGAGGGGGGGAACAGACTGTGGAAAGTGGTCTGGACTGCAAGCGTCTTACTGGGGTCAGATGACAAGTCATGGGTTTGTTACTTAAACTCGATGCTGCTGCTGCTGCTTCTTCTTTTTTTTAAGCGTACTTGCGCTGGGAATACAGCCGTTTCAAGCAGGTTTCCAGTTCTGGTTTGTAGGGTAAACACAAACAATGGTTTGGTACTCTTCGTTTGGAGAAGAAAACAGCCATGTTGACGGGAGAAGAAAGAAGGGGTGAAAACTTTAGCAGATGTTTGGTATCCACTGAGTTAAAATTGTTATTTCTATGTAAACAAAGCCAGTCAGAGACAAACTTCTAGGAAAACTCCTATGACTTCTGAACGACTTGTCTTTATAATGTTTGATCAGAGGACACAGAAACGTGCAGATTACTGCACAAATCAACAGTAGGGACCCACTGCTGAAATCAGAGCTTGCCACACAAAACAAGGGTGAAGGGTGGAGCAGATGAGCGGGGTGTTTCAACACAACGTTCTAAAAGCACAGAATAACGGGGCAACTATGGGCGATTTAGGTAAGAGAAAACGAGTGTTTGAGGTCCAAAGTGCTCAAACACACCACTCCCATCATCCCCAGCCCTGTACAGCCAAGCTACAGTCCACACATACGGAAGATGACAGGTTGGGAGGGCCGATGGAAATATAAATGTCAATTTGGACCAGGAATGAACAGGTCTCTGTAGCTGCACAACTGCCTGGATGGGAACTCTGCTCAGGGATGTTGAGAGAGGGAGAGAGAGAGAGAGAGAGAGAGAGACTGGTCCATTTCTAAGAAAATATATTCCAGAGCTCTAGCTGGAAATGAGACTCCAGTGGCGGAAGCTGTGGGGCTTTTATCCAAGGCACAGAGCAATAGGCGATGGTTTCTTACCCCTGAAGGAAATGCGCTCTGCGAAGGTCTGAGGCACTCCTCGGAGGGATATTCTCCGGGCAGGGGGTGGGTGGGGGTTGAGCCCTTGCACCAAATTTAAGTGGCAAGCCAGAGTTATGGGACGAGTCCCGGATCTCCCAATGCTCCGGAAGACCTTCCACGTTCAAGGCAGGCCACGGACCCAACCCTGCCCGCCTGAAAACCATCTCCCTTCCAAAGACCAACCCAAAAGTGCCCCAGAAACACCCAGCACAGGCACCGCAGCCCCCGATCTGTCTTTTCTCTCCCAACTTTTAATAAGGATGCAAGCCTTGCAACATACAACTTGGGACCTTCCAGAGGGGGGTGGGGGTGTCACACGAGGGCTTTGCTCGTCCTCCGGTGAGGGCAAGCGGTGGAAGGCTGCTTTCGGCCAGGAAGGGCCTCTGGGCTTGGCCGGCCGGCGTCCCAAGAGAGGCTGCCTGGGAACCTGAAGGGAAGAGCAAACCTCTTGCAGGGAGGCCGCACAAAAGGACCGTGCCAAAGATGAGCGCTGCCACCGTCCATCTTTTGCCTGTTAAGCCTGCTTCCTCATTTGAGGAGGGACATCCCGGGAGAGGAAAGTGTGAGAACTCAGCCAGACGGTTTCTCTCCACTCAGCCCGGTATCGTCTGCTCCAGCCAGCCCTGGTTCTCAAGGTTTCGGGCACGGAAGGGTCTTTCTTACCACCTGGTCTGTGGTCCCTTTGAACCGCAACGCCAGCACCAGAACCTTTTCTTGGGAGCGCGGAAAAGCCACTGCTTTGGACCCCAAACCCCAAGAGTCACCAGCTTGCAGTCTGCATGAGCAGTCTGTGAGATCTTGCCGTCCCCCCACCCCCACCCCCCCAAGGAGCCCTCACAAACTCAGGAACTGGGTGAAGTGGACCGAGAGTTTGACTCACAAATCCAACGTGACGAACGCTTCCTTTCCCCTTCTAAGGCAGAACATTCACTCTCTTGTCAGAAAAGACCCTCGGGTGTTTGTAACGGAACAAACCCTCTACAACAACGGTGCACAGAAAGCTAAAATCAAGACTGCGCCGGAACTCAAAAGCCAAAAACATTTGCCATTATCAAAGGTGTGTTCAACCACACAAAGGCTCTCTTCTAAAAAAAAAACACACACAATATAGCGCTACCCACTGGCGATCCTGTCTGCTATTCCTTATTTTTAGACCTCTGGCTAAAGCGCTGTGGCTCACAGTGATTTCCATTTGAAACAGCAAGTGCGGCAGGAGGGTGTGGTTGTTCCCTTGAGGCTATCTATCGCCCGCTAAAACAGAGCATTATTTAGGTGCGTCTTTGTATTTTCTACCTAGAAAACCCCCATAAAGAGTCGCCACAAGTCAGAACTGACATGACGGCACAGGATTATTATTAAAGGGAGAAGAGAATTTAGACTCCTATGTGAAAACACACGCACAGAGAGAAACACACAGAGAGTGCGCGTGCAGGATTTATGCCCTGAATTAGCCTTTTCCCGTTCAAAACAACTTACAACAGGGTGACAGCGGTATGCACACCTCAACAAAAGGAAGCCAGACTTCAAAGCATGGGCTTTAGGGACATGTCTCCAACTCAGATCCATAGCTGTCATCAGCGATCTCTCTGGATAAAAGCACTCTGAACATGTTCAGAGGAAACCCTGTCCTACAGCTTTCATATTACCCTGACCTCTTGGCGTTGAGCTGCTGTTAGTGGGTTTCCAGCCCCTGACACCCCAGGCTGGAACTGGGGTGCAGCCCCCAGGCTGCATGAAGACACAGTACATATGATGGCCAGGGTTTGTGTAATTATTTGCTTCAAATAAAGATCACAACTAGGCAGGGCCTTCTTTTTTTTTAAAAAAAGAGATTCTCATGTATGGTGGGCAAAATGCCCTCTTTTAATAACCGTATATAAGAGGGCAATTTGCAAACCATACATGAGCAAACTGCCCTCTTATATATGTATATCATATACAGTATATCTCAATGTGTTTGCATGCACACACATGCATGCACACACGTACACCTTTTATGTATATAGAGTATACACAGTGATGCACACTCTGTTTCTGCAGAGAGATGGCTGAAGAGCTCAGTGTGCATTGCTTTATACAATGCACACACCGAGCGATGCAATTCTCTCTCTCGGGACTCAGCAGATCTACATCCATCCGTTGGCTGGATAGGGTGCATGTGCATCCCTAGGCATTACAGATACATAAAATGTGTGTTTGTGTGTATCTGTGTGTATGCATGCCTATGTGTGCGCGCGCACACACACACACACAGGAGGAGCACCCAAGAAATATAGATCTGTCTGTATTTCCATGTGTGCATGCCTATGTTACACACACGTATGCCCATTGTGTGTGTGTATGACAGGGGCACCAGAGAAACGCCCAGGAAGCCCAAGAGGTTGAGTGTACACCTGCACGGATGGAGGGAGGGAGGGATAAAATCAAGACACACATCCACCCCCCCCAAACACCACGGGGGAGGGGTCGGGTCGGTGGGACGCCCAGCAGAAGACACACACTGGCGTGTCTCTTTCTGTGTGTATGTGTGTGATGGCCTCTCTTTCCTGGGGAAAGACCCCCCCGCCCCTAAAGCCCCCCCTTCTTCCCCCGCCTTCCCTTTTTTCTCACGGCGGCGGCGGGGGGGGGGGAGAGAAAGAGCATCAACCCTTCACTCACCCCCCCACCGACCCCCTCCCTCTTCCCCCCCCAAGAAGGAAAAAAGGGGACCCCTCGGGGGGGAGGGGGCGGAAGGGAAGGCCAAGCCTCCTCAGGAGGAAGAGACGCCTCTTCCTGTCCTTCCCGTTTTAATTACAGTATTATCCTTATTATCTGGGGGGGGGGAGAGAGAGACGCCCCTCCCCAACCCCCCCCCTTTCAGTTTGTTTACCTGAGACGACGAGCGCCTCGTTGGGCCCCACCGTGTGGCAGTTGCCCATGGCGGCGGCGGCGGTTGGCGAGGCCGGGCTGGGCTTCTCCCTGGACTCGCTCCTTCTCGCTCTCTCCTCCTCCTCCTCCGTCCCTCTAATCCGGATTAAAGGGATCCGGATCCTTCTCCGCCCCCCCCCGCCTTCTAATCCTCCTCCGCGGCCGCGCCCACGGGAAGCGCGTCGAAGGCGAAGGAGGGGCCAAAAAGGCGCGGAAACGAAACAAAACGGGGAAGGGGCGCCTCCGCCTCAGGCCGCCATCTTGGGCTGGGGGGGGCGCCGCCTCTCCTCCCCCAATTAAAAATACTGTAATGAGGAGAAAGAGCACACATACACACACACATATATATCGTGGCGTTCCCTCCCTCCTGTTATTGCAATTCCTGGCATTTTTTTTAAAAAAGTCGTTTACCTCAGGAAGCTGTGGAATAAGACGAGATAGAAGAGGCCCAAAACAAAAGGAAAACTCATAAAGGAAGGAAAGAAGGGATTAAGAGAATAGCTTTCCGCTTCCTCCCCCACTAAATAACCCCACTTGAGGGGCCTGGGCTGCTGTGATGATGATGATGATGAAAACAACAAGGAGTTCCCTGAGGAGGAGTGGAAGTGGAATACCAAAGACATCCATGCCCATCAGGCCACAAATATGTACTGTAAAATAAAATATAAAATAAGGCGCCACTGGGTTTTTCTTTTTTCTTCGGGCTTCTTTTCTCTTCGGCCTGAGGGGGTCCCACAGATGGAGCGGGGGGGGGGAACCCTCTTCTCTACACTCACACACAGCGAGAAAGAATTAAAAATAAACATGGCGTTTCCTTAAAGGCTACTATGTTTTCATGTGAGCTTTCCTGGATCAAGTCCATCATAGATTTATTTTATTTTTGATGAAGAAACCCAGCCAATGAAATTCTTGGTTGCATTATTGTGGGTAACGAGGATGATGATCATGGTGTACAAACCCAGGTATATATGAAAATAGAAAAACGGAGGGCAGCCACCTCAGGTTGCGTATGTGAGGCACGAACTAAAACATCCACAAATACAACAGAACTGCAGGACGATTGCCCTCCGCCCTTCGATTTTTCACGTCTCATCATTATTATTGGGAAACATTAAATACATTAAAAAAACGGAAAGGAAAACCGGCTATGTCCCCGACTGGGCTGTGAGGTGACACAAACGAAGCCAAAGGAAAGCTGGATTATTCAGCAGAATAATTCAAGTAAAAAATTGGAATGATTTCCAAAGCAAAGGAAGAAAAAGGTGAAAAGGGAAAAAGGCAGAGCCAGTCAATCAACGCGGGCCATGATCTTGGGTTCAAAACAAGCCACGGTGGGGTTGTTTGCGAACCCCAAGGAGTCACGCAGTCCGACTGTCAGGAGCAGCCAAGTTTGGGACTGCATCAACAACTTTATTGGATCAATTTTTTTAAAAGTGGCAACCTCATCTGAGGCCCTGTTATCCTTATTTTTATTTAAATCGTGACGTCCCGTCTTATCTATTCCGTCAATCCCCTAACTCCCTTGATGTCAGAAGGATGCAGATTGATGAGCCTCCGTGGATTGTGGTGGGCAGATTTCTGGAAGATATTGTACGGTCTGAAAAAAAGGCAAAACTCCTCCAAGTTGTGTTTTCCTCCAGGAGAGAGAACCGTCTCCGAAATAGGAAGGGGTAGATCATAGGATTCCCTGCCCACGACGGGCAAAGGTCTAAATCCCATCCCATACTGCTCTTATTCCTGTTTCTTTGTTTGTTCCTTTTTTTAACGACGGCACCCCCATTTCTGGAGAAAGCAGCCAGCGTTTTTACCCACTGGGTGCGCCTCTCTGTCCAAAATGAAAGCTATGGTTATAAAGACGCTTCCCCCATAGAGGTTTCCATTGCCGTATCCGATAGCTTCTCTCCATGCACCTCATCAACAAAGCACCATCATCTTCCACATGTATTTCTGAGTGCAGCTGGGAAGGAGAAGATTCCTTCTAGAAATAACTTACGTTCACACAAAAATTGGTTAGGCACGGAGGAGGCAGATGGAGGGTTATCATAGGGTTTATTACCAAATTCTGTCCTTGGTCCCAGTTCTCTGTGCTGCAGAAACCTCAAAGACCCATAGCAGATAAAACCCAGCAAGCAAAGAATCTGCAAAGCCCAGAAAATTCAAGCATTTTTCAGGTTCAAGAAAGCATCTTTTAAAAGGTATCTTTTGGATCTAGCGGAAAAGCAGAAGAAAATGCCCTGTGTGTCACCAGATACCATTCAATGGTCCCCAAATTTTGTGTTTACGAAAGTCGAAGTCTCTGCTCTCGTTTTCCCCTGAGCTCCCTGCATTTGGTGCCGATATTCCCCCTAAAACTTGCTTTCTGTGGCACGGATGTAGCAGAAGTTCTGCTCCCAGACCACCCTGGGACTAGCCCGAGGAGGAGCCGTCCGGACCCGAATGCCCCTGAGACTTAAGCGGCCAGCCCTACTAATCTTTCACTGAGTTCCCAGAGCTTCTTGGCCGCCGCGTCATCCCGGGCGTGCGGTCTGGGTTCTTGGACCTGGCAGTCGGCAAAGTAGCGCCCGCTGAATGCCTCGATGCCTTCCTGGGTGGCACAGTAGATGGACGTCTGCGCTCCGTCCACAGCGTCTCGGAAGAAGAGCCACGCGACGGGGAGGAAGAAGGGCTTCAGCCAGGCCGGGATGTGGCGAAAGAGGTCCGTATTCACAACCCCTGGAAGCCCAAAAAAACCAGCAACGGCCCTTGCTTAGTTAGAGGCGAAGGGGGAGGCGAGGGAGAGGACATAAGGGGTTCCCGGGGCTCTCTGGTCCAGCTGGGTTGTTTGGGGGTGCTGGGCAGCTGCCTTTGGACCCTAACGGGGGGGGGAGGGAAGGACTGGCCGTCCCCCACCTCCAGTCTGGAGCTAGCCTGCTGCCCACCTGGTCACCCTGCGATTTGTCACCGGCCAAAGGCCCCAAGCCCCTTCCGTCCCCAAAGACCACCCCACCCCCCACCCCGGAGACACCCCCCTCTGCAGACCTGGGTGGAGGGCGTAGCAGGTGACGCGGGTCCCTTCCAGGCGGCTGGCCAGCTCGCGGACGAAGAGGATGTTGGCCAGCTTGCTGTCGCAGTAGGAGAGGAAGGTCCGCCGGGCTCCGGCCACGGGCTTGTGGATGTTCTCGAGGTCCACTTTCCCCGACCGGTGGGCCCGCGAGGCCACCACCACCACCCGGCTGGGGGCGCAGCGCTTGAGCCGCTCCAGGAGGAGGAGGGTCAGCAGGAAGGGGCCCAGGTGGTTCACCTGGAAAGTCAGGTTCAGGCCGTCCGGGCTGGCTCCCTCGGCGCTCAGGCCTGCCGGGAGGGGGAGCGGGGGGTGGGTGGACGGAAGGGTTGGGAGAGAAGCCCCGGCCTCTGGATCAGCCCCCCCCCACAAGCCAGAGGAGGAGGAGGGGGGAAGGGGGACCCCACCACCACCACCACCACCCCCCAAAATCTCCGCCCCGGGGCCGCTCACCGGCGTTGTTGATGAGGACGTCGAGGCGCGGCTCGGAGCTCAGGAAGGCCCGGGCGAAGGCGCGCACCGAGCGCAGGCTGGCCAGGTCGAGGCTCATGC